ACCCTTCCAAGTCAGCCTGTTTACCTCAAATGCTTTGCACCAAGATCTCTTCTAGTCATGCAAAGCCATCATTCAACAGCCACAGCTGCGGATAGCCTGTGAATCATCCACGATGATCAAATGAAGGAATGGGGTGATACAAAATTCAGACTGACAATTGAAATTGGCTCAGCTTATTTACAAGCCAATTAAATAGAAGTCAATGATATTTTTCCATCTCTACTGTCCATGCAAATATTTTTCTGGCTTTCTGAAGAGGGGTTGGTGCCCTAAGAGTTTTAGATAATTCTCGTCAGCAAGCAAAAATGAAGTATAATTAATTATTAGTATTAGTATTATTAGTATCAGTATACAGTCTTAGTATACCACCCTTCATCTGAAGATCACAGTTCCCAACAAAAAAATATAAAATGAGAATACAAAATACATAATAAAACAAAAACAAACCAATAATCCCCCCTCCCACAAACACAAAGTGTTTTATAAACGCATTTCTCCAGGTTTATCACTGCCGCATCTGTGATTACTTCCATGCAGACTTAGTGGCAGTGAATATAGCTATTATTTATAATGACCCTCTTCAAAATTTGACATTAATGTTTGTTTATTCCCCAAACTTGTTACATATGGGTATTGATTGTTCATAAATGTCAAGCTGCGCAAACAGTTTGATAACATACTGTTCCAGAACATGGGGCTAAGCACCTGGGCAGTCTGCAGTCTGCTTTTCAATGCTCAGTTTTCTAGCCTTCCTTTATTTAGGTGGAGAGGAGAAGAATGTAGAGGAAGAACACCTGCAGCCCCCCCCCCTACATTTCCAGGTTAGCTGCAGGAAGTTTCCTGTTCTTCATCTGGCATGTCCTGGCATACTTAAGATGAGTTTAAATGGGGGCGGGGTGACCCAACAATTCTTGACATTCATTTTTTTAAAAAAATCTAGCTATAAATAGGATATGAGACATCTGAACTAATACCAGAAAGGTGTCAGTCCAGCTTACATTCTACCAGCTATAGTAAGAACCCCAAAAAAACTAACCACTTTAATTAAAGTAGGATTTGTTTGTTTTAGAGTCCTGAACACACAATCTGGAAGTCAGGTTTATGACTTCTATTTCTACTTTTATTTCTATTGAAATTTTTATTGAAATTAGGGATGTCTGAGAATTCCAACAAAAACAGAAACAGGAATGGGAATTACTAATGATTGCTTGTTCATCCTGAGTCTGCAACCATGTCTGTTGTTGGTATTTGCTGTTGCTGCTTTCATTCTGCAAACAATATATCATTGATTACCATTTGTACCATGTTTCCTTTGCAGTGAAGGAATAATGGGATGGTGCAAATACAAAATTACTTGTGTAATTTATGTAACTAATTATGTAATGATAGTGTAATGATTACACTAGTGTGGTATAGCAGTTAGAATGTTTGAGACCAGGGTTCCAATCCCCACTTAGCCATGAAACTCACTGGGCCAGTCACTCAACCTACCTTACAGAGCTGTTGTGAAATGGAAAGGAGAACTGTTTAGGCCATCTTGAGCCCCTTGGAGCAAAGGTGAGATATAAATGCAATAAATAAATAGCATCGTAGTAATATGCAGAGTGGCCAAAAAATACTGACTAGAAGTTACATATGAGGAATCGGATAAAATTACTTGGGCAGGGGGACACTAGCTATAAATATGCCCTCAACCATTCTACACCATCCTGCTAGAAGTCTAGAGATGTCCTAAAGTGCTGCTTTATCTTCTAGCAACAATTGAATTAAATCTGACACTACCAGATAAGGGTGAACTCTGCATTAGCAGGACATTGAAGACCCATTCTTTCATTCTCCCCTCCTCCACAATATTGCCCTCTTGGCAAGAGGAAGAGTGGAAATAAGCCTTGCATCGCCTCGTGTGTTGGAGCAAGAATGGCTGCTGCAGGCAGCCTGCTCTAAAAGAATAGACTCCTCACATGACTTAAAACTCTCCATGAGGTTCATCCCCACTTTCACACACACATGGTGGTAAACGGGGATGGGTGTGTGTGTGGCATGTCTGAACAGAACTATGCACTTGAGTAATAAATAAGTATTCACATTCTAGGATAAAGTACACAGCCAGGAAAATATATATATAATGCAAGCATTTAATGAAGGGTCAAAGAAATGTGAAGAACTAAGACTCTGAATGTGGAAAGTGAGCGTAAGGGAGGAAGTAGTCAGCTTCTCTGAAGTCCAAGGGTAACCACCATGGTGCTCTTTAGAGGTTGTTCTTGGAAAAGGAGAAGAAGTAGTTGTTCTTGGACTCCACATCCCATCAGCCCTTGCCACCATAGCCAATCATCAGGGGTGATGGAAGTTGTAATTGAACAACTTCTGGAGGGCAGCATATTGGCTACCCCTGCAAAAATCCATACTTTGTGTATATCATTTATGAGTTAAATCAGGAGTAGCCAATACAGTGTCCTTCAGATGCTCAGATTCAACTAGTGTGGCCAGTGCTCAAGGTTGATGGGAGCTGCAGTCCAACAACATTTGGAGGACACCATTTTGGTTACCCCTGGGTTAAATAGGGTCGGTTTCTTCAAACAGTAACCCCCTTGCCTTTAATAATGGAAGGCACAGACAATGGATCAATGGATAAGATTTCTAAACTTCATCCAGTCACAGAGTTAATTAAGGAAAAAAAGGGGGGCAGGGAGACGAGATCAGAAGTTAGCATTAACTTAATGAAGACAAAACAATGAAGAGCCACAGAATTGACAATGAGATTTAGTCCTGAGTTCAGTCAACTGAAATCTCGGTCACCAAATCTCTCTTGAAACATACAGACCGAATTCATCATTCCTTTTTTTACCTTGAAGCCTGAATGAAACCTGTCCCATATACACACATTGCCACCACAAAGCTGAATCCTCAGGTGCTTTGATACAGATCTTCAAGGAGGGTGGGATAGGAAATACTTGAGTAATTCAGTAGCAACACTTCTGCTTGAGCCACTCAGCCAGCAAATACATGATAATGTCTTCCTTGATGACTTCTCCACTATAGTGCATTAAACAGCTAACGGTAGCACATCATCTCTTCAAAGAGAAGTTATGAGGAACCTTATATTCAGAAAGAAACATTAACGGAAGAGAGGAGCAGAGAACTCACAGCAAGAATGTTACTCTGATTAAATTCTGTCCTCTCCCCAAACCAGAAAGAAAACTCTCTGACTCACCATATCCACATAGTGAAATCCCCACTGCTCTTCGTGCTGTGTGGTTATTTTTACTACATTCAGTGGTTTTCTCAGCCAGGTGCTGTTAGAACGAAGGAATAAAACTAATTAGTTAATTTTTTTCTCTCTCTTTTGCCTTGTGGTTGGTTATCCTGCAGGTTTTGGTGCAGGCTGTATACATTACTCTGACAGAACTATATAGAAATTTTTACACACACACAAAATGTTTATACATATAAGTATAAAACATATTTTTGAATAATAAAATTCGTTGCTTTCATCATTCTCTGCAAGATGCTTTAGCAGAAGGCACAATCAGTATACCCAAGTAGAGGCCTAATGTTCTCCAGTTAAACCCCTTTTGTATTGAATCAGATAATTTATTTTTTGCTAAATGAATGGCCGCTACAAGCATAGGATGACAATGCTCTTCAAGAATGGTACAACATTGCCCCCATGTGTCCTCAGACAAGAATTAGGTTTCTTCTGCATTTGTGATGTATTTATAATAGCATCATACCCAGCAAGTCACAGGTTCCAAATGTTTCCCCTGATATGGCCTATTAGGTTTGTCTAATTAATAACAGATCCTATAGCAGGACCTATTGTGACCTATCTGAACGTCAAAGCTGGATATCAACAGAGGCAGTGATTAGCGTGTTAAATGATACTAAGCAATGGGACGCCATCAGAGTCCCCACACTCACTTTCTTGATTTCTCTGGCATGCATTTAATATTTCTGTTTTCTAGTTAGTGTCCATTGTGTTATTCCCTTTCAATCAGCAGCCTCTTCAAGCCTCTCCATCATCCATTAACCTCTTGTGCAAATTTGAGAGTCTCCTCTTTCTTTCCTCTACTCACAGTTTCACTTAGGACCAAGCCAATTATCTTTGGCACAAAAATCCAGAAATTCAGACAGTATGTTTAAACTTACCTTTTGCAATAAAGCTTTGTTTGTTTGTTTGCAGCCACTATATTACTGTTTTTCAGGAGGACCTCCCAAAGCAGTTTACATATGAAGGTTACAGCAATAAGCAAAAATGTTTAGACATTACTCTGCAAAGACCTTCTGGATTTAACATCCCCAGCAACTTTGGTATACTGCTTTTTTTCCTCATGTCATTTCTCTAAAGCAACACTTCTTTCCTTCCCTCATCTCATATGTTCCCATTTTTGTTTTTTTAAAAAATATGAAGAATAGTTCTGTGCAATGTCTTCTTGAGGCTAATAAAGAAATGGTTTCATTATGCTTCCTTGAAATTAAGCCTGGTGCTAATGTTCCTGCCTTATGCCCTCAGGTTCTTCCATACCCTCCAACGTTTTTCAGATGCAAATAGGGACGTCCCATTCCATAATGATAATTTTACCATTTATACCCCACACATCTCACTGGGTTGCCCCAGCCACTCTGGGCAGCTTCCCACAAATATAAAAACATAATAAAACGTTAAAAAAGCTTCCCTATACAGGATTGCCTTCAGATGACTTGGGAGTTGGGCAACTCCATACCCTCCAACATTTCTCCAATGAAATAGGGACACCCTAAGGAAAAGTGGGACATTCTGGAATCAAATCAGAAACCAGAATGACTTCTCCAAATCAAGAACATCCCTGGAAAATAGGGACACTTGGAGGGTTTGCTCTTCTAACAAGAAGGAACAAAGAGTATGAATAAACTGCCAAAATCCACTGTAGGCTGCTTGGAAGGATCTCAGCATCTCTTTTATTCCTCCTCACTTTTCTTTCTTTATCCCTAAACCAACAACACTGTCCACCTGCAGACAGAAAGCCCATAGCTCAGTGGTAGAGCATCTGCTTTTCAGCCAGAAGGTCCCAGCTTCAATCCCCACCATGTCCTGGTAGGGCTGGGACAGAATCCCAGAATCTTCTGCTTGTCCTGCCCCTTTTCCCCTAGGGAACATTGCTGAATCAGAGCATATGTCAATCAGGTTTTCCATGGATTTAGTGGTAAAGAGCAGGTTTTCCTGGGGAAAGCAGCAGTGCAAATGGAAAACCACTCAGACCCGTGTGTAGAAAGCTCAGGACAAGCAGAAAACCTCTGGAACACAGGTTTTCTAGGCATAGGACAAGCAAAGTGTGGACAAGCCCACAGTGTGGAAAGTGCTTGAGCTGGGTAGACCAGTGTTCCTGTTCCCAGCATGTTCGCACTCCTGTCTCAGTGATGTCTAGGCTGGCTTGGTCATGTCAACAGAATGGAAGATAGTAGGATTCCCAAGGACATGCTCTACAGGGAGTTGGCTTCAGACACCAGGCCCATTGGCAGACCAACTCTGCATTATAAAGATGTCTGCAAACGTGACATGAAGACTGAAAGCTTCAGCCCTGCCATGAGGAAATCCCTTGCAGACAACTGCAGTGCCTGGAGGCAGACAGTGAGATTATGTACCCATAATGGTGAACAGAGGAGGAATAACCGCTGGGAGGAGCACAGAGAGAAGTGCCATGGTGCATCTGCAGCAGCACAACCGGGTGTCTTCATCTGCCCCAGAGGCAACAAAACATGTCTCTCCTGTGTTGGTCTCTACAGCCAGAGCAGGCACTGCAACTGTCCAACAGCTTGACCTCACCCCCAAAGACGCACTCCAGAAACAGACAGGAGCTGAAAGCCCCAGGTTAGCATGAATGTGTATCTTATACTGTTTCTAATATGGCCTGGAAGCAAAACAAGATGCATTGGAGAGGCTTGCTAGCTACTAGGCAACCATAAACAGGATTCAGCAGAGGTCAACCCCATATATCTTCCTAGACCCAATTTTATGCTGTACCAGGTCCTTTTATTTTAGCAGGCTATGAAAAGAGGTCAATAATCGGTGCTTTGGAGTGTCCTTGTGGTGTCCTAGATAGTGTACTGGGGCTATGATTTTTGCTCAGTCACCTTAGACAGTTTGCTTATGAACTCCCGCTGAGCCATATACAGAATCTAATACTAGCAAAAAAGGTGTCCACCTAGGAAGTGCAGGGGTATGCATAGGGCAATTGCTTCTGGTTCGCGGCTTCCTGGGTCTGATCAGTAGCATTGTTGTGTGTCCTGCTTTAAGAGACAGTCTTCTGTTTAAAGGACTATCATAAAATAGTCCTCTGTTTGAATGACGGTGTGGTCCAAGACCACTTTAAGATAAAAAAACATAAACAGGGAGAGCAGGCAGCTTAGTGTTGGGCATCTGGCATGCATATGCACATTTAAAGTATACACATCTCCAAATAATTCTGTAGTTTATCCCCACTACAATTCTCAGCACCCAGTACAAACTACAGTTCCCATTCTTTAATGTATAGTGGCCACACAGCCTGAGCAAATTACATCCAGCCTTCGAGATCTGATTCTACAAATGGGCCAGATTTCAGCTCGGCTGTCAGTTTTGTTTTGCTCTTCACCTTTCCTAACCTTTTAATTCCTATATGGAATTTCCTCTGTGGTCCAAAGCACAGATGAAAACAAAAGGCTGTGAGTCTTCCAGCAGTCTCCTGCCTATTTAGCATTCAGAAAAGGTGCATGTTGCTGAATTCAGAAAGGCAGAGGGTGCTGATTGTCACCGCACAGTGAGGTTTCTTTTCTAAAATGTTAATGGTTTCACCCGGCACTCTAGAGTTTTTTGTAGCCTCTAGGTCACTTTTTTTTTTTAATGAAAGCTGATGCAATCTCTCCCAAGATAGGGTGAAAAGTAGTTTGTTCACTGAATTTCAGGTAACTCTCCAAGCTCAGGAGTGCCCATTACACATAAAAGCACAACATTTTTGTAAGGCTTTTATTTGAATCTCACAGAAGAGGGGAAGAAAATCAGACACAGAATTCAATTAATTTTCCACATTAGAAAAATTGTTTCGTATCGGTAAGCTCTCCTTACACAGTTTCTCAAATATGCTTGGAAGCAAATTGCCTTGATTATCCCTTTGATGGGGAGGAAAGCCTTTTAATTAATTTCCTACATGCTTTGGTTGTGCTAAACCACAGGTAGTGCTGAACCTCCATTTCCCTCTTGCCGAACATGGATCAATTGCACTTAAATAGCTCCCCAACCATAGCAATGTGGATATCCATAACTCAGTGGTAAACCATGTGCTTTGTATGACAGAGGAACCCAGGTTCAATCAAAAGTGTGGATTGCTCTGTTGAACTCAGGTGCTGTTGGGTGGTCTTCCCATAGGTTTCAGGTTGGCTAATCTGTGAACAGGATGCCAGTCTATCCTTTGGCCTGATCCAGCAAGGCTTTTCTTATGTTTTCCATTTACCCAAAGCTAATTTCCTCATAATGTGTCTGCCCTCCAAGCACTTTTCTTCTCAGCTGAACTCTGATAGTAAAAGTGAACTCTGATACCAAGCTCTGATACCTGAAGTGAGCTCACCTGGGATAAAAGGGCTTGCAAAGAGAAGTTATGTGGAGGTAAGTATCAATGTAATGGAGATTTTGGCTCCCCTCAAAAATATTGATCTCCCATATCTGAGCCCACCTGTACTTTGCATATGATTGGACCACACCTGAGTTAAAATAAATGTCTAGCTTGGACATTTTTAACTTCTATCAGATCATAAAATAGCATGGATTCAATTACATCTATTCAGGCATGTTGATTACCACTATAGTTCTCTAGAGTTACAATCTACTGTTTTCTGTTAACCTACTGAAATTTCAGTTAATCATTCAGTGGGGTAAATTTAGGATGCATTTGGTTGTACAAGTGATTTTTAGCTTGGATATATTGCTATAATGAGAAATGACAAAGAAAATATTAATGACGGCCTTTTCATCTAACAGGGAATGATCTGTTAAACTTAATTGTGAGCTGTCTCATACTTACTTCCTCAAAAGAAAGCAAGATTTGGTCTTGCATTAATTAAAAGCCAAAACTACTAAAGAAATCTTTAATTGATGTGTAGAACTAATTTCCCCCAGTGTGCATTGCCATTTAAGTTGCCATATGGTGGGAATCACAAGGAAGGAGGTTGTTTCAAGGAGGTCCAATGAACAATGGACTCATTTAAACACAGTCTGGATTTTTGAAGTTTATGTAGTCTGGGTCAGTGAAAACAACCACCTTACATGTGCAGTGGCAAATCCTTGCTTCTGGCTAATAGGTCATTTCTTTGACTTGTCAGTTTTCTGCATAGAAACTCAATCATCATTATGAGAGGTTGTGATAGCATGCAAATAACCATACCTTGTTCATAGCAAACAAATCAGGCAACCCATTCGCTATATACAGGGAGCTGGCGCACACACACACACACACACACACACACACACACACATATATATATATATATGCAACACTGCATGCACTATGATTGTGCACACCACTCCTCTACTATGGGATGGAATCCTTGAGACAACCTAAAACAGGCCTGCACAACATGTGATCCACCCTGCCAAATGTAGCAAATCATCAATATGTTGTGGTATCCTCACCTATACAATTGCATCAGTCCATATGGCATCTTAGAGCACTTCACAGGCAACACCCAAGAACAGATAGATCTTTCCCCTCAAGGAGCTTACAAATCAAAAATTGTCAGCCAGTGGAGCAGAGACAAGATGCTGGAAGAATTAAAGGCCAAATGCCATGCTTAACTTTTGGTTACAGTTTGGAATGATGACTAGGCAGTTAAGGCAAGGGCTTCGCAAACAAGGTGAACTTTGAGGAATGATTTATGGAAGAGAGCGAGGTTGTACCACATACATTTCAAGGAGGTAGTTTCATACATTGGGACTTCAAGGGAGAACAGGTAGACTCATGACAGAGAGCAAGAGGTTTTTGGCTGAGTATTTTCTTATTAGTTATTTAAATCATTTCCAAGAATGATAGAGCTGGGGCAAGGAAACAAGGGCTGAAAGAGGACACTAAAGCAAAAGGAAAATAGTTGGTGCTGGATTTGAAAAGGAATGTAAGAGCAATGAAGGAATGTGATGTTAGGTGCTGCATGGACTAAGTGATAGAAGAGATAAGTGATTTTCGACTGAAGTGAGAAGATGGAGACATGGTAGGGAAATCCAGAAAGAAAGTTACAATAGTTAAGAAGGAAGGTAGCCAAAGCATGAAGCAGGAATTGGAGGATTTTTAAGATATCCAACTCAGTCTTGGAAATCTCTCCTATAAGATGTAAGTAATGGCTATAGAGGCAGAGCTAGCTGCTCTGGCACCCAGAGTGGCACACATGCTGTGTGCACGGGGGCAGGGCTAGCTGCACGCAGGGGGCGGGGAAGTATCTCAGGGGAGCGCCGCCCGCTGTGAGTGGTGAGCGTCCCAGGTGGGTGGCATGGTGATGCCACCCCCCCTCAGTGATGACACCCTGGGTGAGCCACATCTACTGCACCCCCCTTCCTCTGCCAGTGAATGGCTACCAACTTGGATGACTTAAAAAGTTTAGACAAATTTGGAGTTCAGCGTTCTGTTTTCACAATTGCAAGCAGGGTGCCTATAGAATCCTGAAAGCAGGATCTGAGTGTCACAGTGCTCTTTCCTCTTATGATGCCCCTCAACTGGTATTCAGAGTCATGTTGTCTTCCACAGTGGAGGTGGAAAGACCCTTACTCACTTTTTTCTAAATGAGAAAGCCCCAAAGTTGCAACCTCTCTAGAATGCGTTTTGAAGGAAAGCAGTCCTACGGCACATTTTCCTAACGGACTGAACTTCCTAACGAAATAAATGATATTAATAGTGTTGGTGTGGAGAAACCAGCATTTCCAAAAATATAAATTATCTGAAACCAGAGTGCCCCCTTTTTTTTATTTTATAAAATTTGTATACCATTTGGTTGTAAAAACAACAACCTCAAAGCAGTTCACAAAAGCTTTTAATAATAATAATAATAATAATAATAATAATAATAATAATAATAATTTATTATTT